CTCATTATCTCAGCGTAGAGGCATCGTAGGGACAAGCGGTTTGTTTTATATTAGCAAGGTAGGACAGCTGATCAATAATACCACAAAGAATCGTCAAAATAAAATGGGCAAAGTTTATTAATTCGACTAATACTTCAGCATGGTTTCAGCATTTCACCGTTGTACGCTCTCCTTCTTAATACGCTCTTGCTGCAATCCATTAGAGCAATTCGCTTACTTACGCATTCAAGTCCTGATTTCTGAGGCTGGCTATAGCCTCCTGGACCTCACTTTCCATGGCGATGACGCTATCTCAACACAACTACAACAAATGAAAGTGTCAATGACACTGTAGCTCACCACAATGAAAGTGTCAATGACACTGTAGCTCACCACAAATGAAAGTGTCAATGACACTGTAGCTCACCACAATGAAAGTGTCAATGACACTGTAGCTCACCACAAAAAAGGACACAAATGAGTGAGTAAAGAAGAAGTCAGTTTTAATTGAGCAACCATCGACGTACATTATAGAAACGATTGCCATCTGCATATCGCAATAATAATTTATAAACCAAAATGAATCACAATTTGTGACAGTAGATGGCGCTATACCCGCTTTGTAGCGATGGCGTGTGAAATAAATAGGTTATGCTGCGTTCCGACATGTTTTGTAAATCTTTACTCTAATATATAGACGTTTTATCGGCAGGGTGGAGAGGAAATACCAATTTTGCATTAAAGATATTGTCAATGAAATCTTGTAAAAAGAACCAGACGAGTGTGACACCACACTGTTTGTGTCAATATAATATGCTATATAATTGCCAAACCCCACCTAATTTGCATAATTTTTTTTTAAATATCAAAACCCCTAACCCTTATTCATTCACATACCAAAAATGAGCAAAATCCATTGAACCTGAACTGACTAATGGCAATTCCCATTTTTGCCAAAAAATTGCCGTGGCTCGAAAGTACGTCAACTGGCGTGCTTCAAAATGGAACGTTTAATATGGGAGCATAGCAGTAACAACTATACCCAATTTCAAACATGTGGGCCAAACGGTTCCTGAGTTATCGTTGACCGAAGCGAAATGTTGATGGACGGACAGACGGACAGACGGACGTACGACGAACGACGACCCATGGCAATAGATCAGCTTGACGATGTCAAGGCGAGCTCAAAATCGGGTTCAGCGAACTGTACATTTCAGGGGATCAGAAAATATGAGTTTTACTATCATTCAGAAAACATTCAGACATTGTTACATGTTAATTTAGATGGATATTGAGTTATGTATCAATATTACACGTTAAAATTTTTTCCCCTATCCTATATAGCTAGGGCCACATTTAAAAAAATCGTTGTTTGCCCTCACCCGACCCAGGCTGAAAAGTTTGGGTATGTAGCCTATAGGTAATTCAGTTCAGTTCAGTTCAGTTCAGAAACAGTTCAGTTCAGTTTGTTATTGAAAGCCAAAGGTTATATACACCATAGATGAATTTATCTGTGTTTAGACGCTATCATATACGACTTGAGTCGCTTTATAATTTGTGTTAAGGTTAGTGATAGGCATAGTTATACTGTTTGTACTTGTTTGTGTGTATGTGTGTGATGGTACTGCCGTACTGGAGACATTAAGATAAGACTGCAGCGCATACGTAGTGTTGCTGCAGTTAATATGTCATTTTCGGAGGTTGATCAATGTTATGTGAATGTTTGCAAAAACGTTCTCAGAATGTCAGGAAAACTTTCCTAAAACACGTTATTAGAACGTTACTGAATAATGTTCTGCTAACCTAAAAGAAACATTCCCATAACATTCAAGGAACATAACTTTGTTAGCTGGGATATTAACCAGTTATGTAACACGTACATTGGTAAGACTGTATGATGTCACTATATATATCACTAGTGGTTGACAGAGAAGAAGTTAGATGCAAAGTTATTGATTTTCTTATATTAAAACACAAATATTATATTGATTCTTTTCGAGTAATATATATTGCATCCAAGTTGCCTCATCTGCCAGTATTGTGGTGATAGGGCAATACCAACAAGCCTGTAGCAAAGCGAATGGATGTATAGGCATAGTTAGGCTGATAGGGTCTACCTATGACCTAACTATGGCTGATAGGGTCTAC